ACATTTTTGGAAGTCTGTGCTCCATTGCTAAATCTTTTTCTTGCAAGTTTCTTAGTTTTACAAAATGTTTAGATTAGAAGTCTGGAAGAGAAATATGTCTTTGATTTTGTTGCTGATATATGAATCAGAGAAAAAACTTGTTTCTAACTTTGACTTTTGCTATACAGCATACTTCCATAATAATGACATAGTTGGATATGGATCTAGATATGGATCTACACACATACAGTATATGTGCATATCTTGGTTATATTTTTGCATACAAATAATGGTGTTGCAACTCAAATATATATAAATATATATGTGTGTTTTCTGAGATTTTCACGGGTGTTTGTATGTAGGTCTTTGGTTATTTGGGTTTTCTCCCGCGTAAAATTGGAAGTGTCTTGGCGACGTTTTGACGAAGTCCCATTCGTCATCTTCAGGCTGGTGTTTTCAGCTTCATGCTTCTAGGAGCACGAAGCCGAAAACACCAGTCTGAAGATGACGAATGGGATTTCATTGAAACGTCACCAAGACACTTCCAATTTTACGCGGGAGAAAACCCGAATAACCAAAGACCTACATAGATAGATAGATAGATAGATAGGTGCAACTGATGCTGAATGTTCCTAAGAAGGAAACATTTTATGCCATTCCTATTTAGTAGGGCACCATGTATAATCCAATATTAATGTGAGATAATACTGAACAATAGTTGTTGTATTTTTTAATTAAAGAATGTTGGAACAAAATATGGTAAAAAAATAGCTGATACAACTGCATATGTCTCAATTAATCCATTTGAAATTAAGAAATGACATTTCATTTTACTTATATTGTGTCAGTAATCCATATAACATATAAAGAAATGTGACCTCTTGTCTCTAAGCTGTCTGGATGTGAAAAAGAGTCCTTCATGAGTGTTGTTCACTATTCCTAACTCAAATCTGCATGCAGTGGATATAAAAAGTCTACACACCCCTGTTAAATGCCAGATGTAAAAAAAACCAAACCTGACCAAGATAAATCATTTCAGAATTTTTCCACTTACAATATACCATAAGTTGTACAATTCAACTGAAAAACAAACTGAAATCTTTTAGGGGAAAAATAATAAAAAAAACATACAATAAAGTGGTTGCATAAATGTGCACACTCTTAAACTAATGCTTTTTTGACACACCTTTTAATTTTTATGACAGCATTCAGTCTTTTGGATTAGGAGCTTATTAGCATGGCATATCTTGCTGGGAACCTTTGCCTGATCTTTATTGCAAAAGTGCTAGAAATCTGTCAGATTGTGAGGGCATCTCCTATGCATAGCCCTTTTCAGGTCATCCCGCAGACTGTCAATTAGATTCAGGTCTGGGCTCTGCCTGGGTCATTCTACAATTTTAATCTTCTTCTAGTTGAAGCCAGTGTTTTGTTGATTTGGAGGTATGCTTGGGATCATTATCATGTTAAAAGATGAAATTTGTCTTCATCTTCAGCATTTTAGCAAAGGCCTAAAGGTTTTGTGCCAAAATTGACTGATATTTGGAACTGTTCATGATTCCATCCACTTTGACTAAAGTCCCAGTTCCAGCTGAAGAAAAGGATCTTCAAAGCATAATGCTGCCACCACCATGCTTCACTGTGGGTATGATGTACTTTTGGTGCTGTACAATATAGTTTTTGTGCCAAACATATATTTTGGAATGATGGCCAAAAAGTTCAACCTTGGTATCAGCAGACCATAACACATTTTCTGCTTTTGTCAGACTAGATGTAGGTTTTTGCAAAATAATGTAGTCAGGCTTGGATATGTTTCTTTGTAACAAGAGGCTTTTATCTTGCCGCCTTACCCCACAGCCCAGATATATGAAGAATATGGGAGATTGTTGTCACATGTACACAATCAGTACTTGCCATAAATCCCTGCAGCTCTTTTAATGTTGCTGAAGGTCTCTTGGCAGCCTCTCCAATCAGTTTTATTCTTGTTTTTTTAATCAATTTTTCAGGGACATTCAGTTTTTGGTAATTAATCCACACCTTAATAAGATACAAAAGTGGCATTTTATTAAATATTAGATTTATGATAGATCTTTCCTCTCTAAAAAAATTAGATGCTCAGAAAAAAAAATGTGCCAGAAAAATCAGAGATTGGATCTGTTTATTGCTAATATGTAGGAGAAGGAAACAAATGACAGGAGGGCAAATGTCTTTCCAGTTCAAGCATTCATACATTTTTGCTTTTGAAGATTCATCTTCAGAGTGCTATTTGTGCAGGAAGAAGACTCCTATTAAGAAAACAGCAGCAAATGAGATAAATTCCAGGATACAAATATGCAAGTATAAAGCATATAAAATGCATAATCACTCCTCAGTTTAAACAGGTTGTTGTCAGGCACAAAAGGTGAAGTCCACAAGTGAAGGTTCAATTAAGTTGATTTATTGCTAAAGGACTATGGACAGGAATCTTCTCAACTAACATTCAGCATCTGGTTAGAGTTAGATAAGTGTCAATGGCACTTGGGGGGGGGGTTGGACTTCATTTGCTTGTGACTACATAGAGATTCTGAGATGATCACTCTTTTCACTCCACCTCAGGTTCTGCTGCTCTTTGTCGTAGAATTGCAAGCATGTGAACACATATTGTCAATAACTGTTTTATATAGTAATTATTTATACAAACATACTTTAATTCTAGAGTGATAAAGAAAAAGTCTTCTTTCTGATCTGTTTCCATTTTCATAGTGTTTCCAAACAAATACTTATATTTATTGATAGCAGGTGTTACTATAAGAAATATAATTTTGATCTCAAAAACAATAAGATTATGATAAACAGTTAAAGATTAAGTATGTTAAAGCTACTTAATCACTTACAGAGAGAATTCTGTAGAAATTAGAAACTCCATAGATTGACCCAGCTAGATATCTAAAGGTGGATAGGATAGCCAACTTCAGATAACTGAAAAAAGGTCACATAGAAAACTATCAAGGCTTAATTCTCACTCCAAAGCACATGGAATAATAGATTTAAATTATTGAAAGATAGATTCCAATAAAATATTAGGGTGAAAATATTTCTAATAGCAAGAGCAGTTTGATGGTAGAGCCAGGAGCTTTCTTTCGTTAGATGTATTCAGGTGGATGCTAAAGAACTCAATATTCCTTTCCAAATCTGGAATCCTAAAATAGAAGAAATCAACCTAGTCAGACTTTGTGTGAACTGTCCAAGGTTCTGATTTTGTGGCCTCAAATTTCAGATTATGTAATTATCCAGATATGACTGTACCTACTGTTATTACTTCTGATTCAGCTACCTTGCCAATAACTTTTGTGTTAAAATGCTTGAAAAACCTCTCCTGTAGATTTTTGGGTGCTTGTGATACAGCACCCAAAATACAGCAATTTAGTGCAATGTTTCGTACCCCAAAAATTGATGTATAGGTTATTTAACCTAAAGTATTTTTTATTTATATAGCACAAAAATGCTTCAGGATTTTTTTTCTTTTGAATATATCTAGAGCAGAATGGGAGAACTCACCCTGGACAACTTGCCATGGTCAATTCACTGCTGCCAATTCACCATGGCTAACTCATTGTGGCCAACTTGCCATGGGACAGGTCACCACTGGGCAATTCAACAATTTTATTTAATTATTTAAAATATTTTAAAAATATTTTAATTTTTGTCATTCACATTTCATTTTGTCCCTCCTTTTGCATCCTTTAATTATTCTAGTCCATAATTTTTTCAATATTATGTAACTTTTGTCCCTATGACAAGTTGTCCCACCATGAATTATCCCCTGGTGAGTTGGCTGTGGTGACTTGGCTGCGGCAAGTTGACCGTGACTAGTTGGCCATGGCGAGTTGGCCACAGTGAGTTGTGGAAAGCTTGTCCTAGACCCTATCCAGCATATGGGTCCTCTGAAATCTACCAAATTTCAATATGCAGAAAGTATTTATGACCCTGACTTCTGGTGACTACACAGGCACATCCCTGCAGTATTCTTTGGCAACATTTTGGAAGTGATTTGCTCTTTTGTTTTTCTAAGGCTAAAAAAAAGGAAGAGCTCAAAATAACTCAGGGGGCTACCAGGCAAGACAAAAAGTCACATTTTTTTGCCTTCTAATAAAACACCTTAAACTGGCTCTCAAATATCTTATATACTTATACTATTTCTAGTAAAATGTTTTTTTCTTGATCCAAAGACCAAAAAAATCCTATTGTTGTATATAACTGTTTATTGCAGTTACTGTTACTTTATTAATCTATGTATTAATTACAATAAAGTCTACAATTTTATAGACATTTTATGCCAATTTCACTATTATAAAATTACAGTTGATTCTCCATTGAAAAATCAGAAATAAGTTGAATACTTTGAACAAGTTACTATAACCAAACATCATTATATTAAGAAACAAATAATGTTCCATAATGTATAGACTTCTCTATGCTACATTTCTATATGCTCTTAAACAATATACTAAAAGTCAATTGATTTTTTCCCCCAGCTTTTTTCATTGAAGTAAATTTACTTGGTTTAAAAATGCAACATCATTTTCATACATAAACTTGACCATGTACATTATTTCATCCTTATCAATATATTGCAAACACAGAGTTTTGATGAAGTTTCCTACTCAGACAGCAACAGAGATTCATGAAATAAGACTTTCTTCTTTTTGAAATGATGAGTAGATTAAAGAAGGATATATAAAAAAATATAATAAAGAAATAGGTTGTTGTAATTTAGAAATACATGTGGTGATGATGATACGTTTGAGGCATTCGCTGTAAAATCATAATCATTCTGGAAGACTTAATGAAAACAGAAGCAGAATGGAACCATAAAGCATATTTATATTTGTATTATGTAGTCATTCAAACTCAAGATTACTCTCATTTTTACTCACTTTCATCATTTGATTATAACATTGTTCTAGTTCATATTGTCTTACACGTATATGGTTTGCTTTATGTATTTTTATGCTCATATTCATTGATTGGTTGGTTGATTGCAGGAGAAGATCCTGAAACAAGAAGAATGAGAACTGTAAAGAATATAGCTGATCTGAGACAGAACTTGGAAGAAACTATGTCCAGTCTTAGAGGCACTCAAATAAGCCACAGGTATTCTTTACTAGTGCAGTTGAATACATGGAACAATAAAGCAAAAACAGTAAAAAAAGTGCATTGTCTAAACAGAAGATTTGATTTAAAATGTATCATATGGCTAAAGAAATAAATATCTATCAAAAAGTGAGATTTAATCATTATACAAAAGTGAAGTATTCCAGAAAACAAATTATAAATTGTCTTTAATATCAGAATAAAATCAACTTGTATAGCTCATATTTAAACAATGCAAATCCATAATAATTGTGCTGTATGGATGAGGCCATTCTGAATGCTAAAGCATTGTATATTACTTGTAATTTGAATCTTGCCACTTGAGTTAAAGTAAACAGTTTTAATAGAATTCAGTCTTGAGATTGTTTAAGGATGGAGAAAAACAGATCATTCAAAGAAATATTTTTTGTTAATGGTAATGACACAGCTGGGTGACACTGTAGTTGCCAAATTCTATTAAGAATGTTGTGCTTATCTTTATTTAGAATGTTTTATCTCAAAGCCCGCCATCGCTAAAAATATGGAAAATCTGAGAATGGACATTGGCTTGTTGCAGAAAAATGTCAGCCTTAGAGTGAAATCTTTAAAAACAGGTGCTATTTTTCCTAAGACATGTTTATTTAAAAGTAGAACTTTTTTTGTCTACCCTTCATCCCATATGCATAGAAATATGGTAGCCATGGTTCAACAGTTTTTGTTTTGCTTGACAGCACACTGGAGACAACATTTGACAGTACTGTGACAACTGAAGTGAATGGACGAAGCATTCCTGGCTTAACAAGCCGATCTTCTCCAGTGACCTGGAGGCTTGGACAAGCTAGTCCTCGACTCCAGGCAGGTGACGCTCCTTCCCTGGGTGGAGGGTACCCTCGCAGTGGTGCTAGTCGCTTCATCCATACTGACCCTTCTCGATTCATGTACACCACACCTCTTCGTCGTGCAGCCATCTCTCGTCTTGGGAACATCCCCCAAATTGACATGGGTGAAAAAGGAAATAGTGACCTGGACATTTCCTCTGATGTTGATGTTGGAGGGTACATGAGTGATGGGGACATTCTTGGGAAGAGCCTTCGAGCTGATGACATCAACAGTGGGTAAGATTTCTTTTTTGTAAAAATGAGATTAGAAAGAATTGTGATTTTTTAAAAGTAATTCACAAATCTGTTCATAAACAGAAAGGAATGAGGTAAACATCTGAAAAATATGGTGAATTTGTTACTGGCTAAATTAGAACTATAATAATCTACAATGAAAGTTATCAGAGAAAATGAATTAACAAATTAATCATACATTTTACTGTTTAAAGTCTCATTTGAACTAAATTAAATTACTTAATTAAATTATAGTTATCTTCTGTCTTATTTTTTGTTAGACTCTTTTATAGAGACAAATATACAACATGATTTTCATTTTTAATTTTTCTGATGCAGATAAATATACATGGCTCTCTCTTTGTTAATTTTTAGAAAGGCCTTGTCTTTTTGAGGATTTTTATTATAATGAATTTATAATATTAAATGATATGGCTTGAAGTTTTATAGCTTATTATCTTCTAAAATTGCTTATCATTTAGATTATACATAAAATTGGAATGATGGATATTCTAAAGAGAATAAAAGAAACTTGTCTAATAAATAATATAATATACACCTAATAGAAAGCACACTGCTTCTGTGAAATAAGCCTCATTGTTAAATTGTTTACCCTTAGAAAATGTCTCCTAATATTCAACCATAATCTGACTTCCTGTGTTTGAAATCCATTATTCCATGTTTGGAATGACACAGAATTGTTGTTCACTTTCTTTCTTTTGTTCACACACTTTCACAGTGTTTTTCAGTCACTGTTTTTCAGAATATTCTGCCATATTCCTCCCTATGACTTGTTATTACCAAAGTTAAACATGTATAGTACATGCAGTCTTTCTTTATAGAATTTAGATGCTAATTTCCCAATACTTTTATGATCGCTTTTTCTGAACCTATTCCGACTTGTCAAATTTTACTGGATATAATACTCAAGGTAACATCTGTGAGATGTCTTCTTATTTACTTAATATAATATTAAGCATTGCATAAATATTATATAGCATATAAAGAATAGTTATGATAATGTTAGAGATGTGCTGTTTGGGTAAATAAATGTACATGTACTTTTTTTATAAAGACCTCTAAAAACTCAAATGATTTGTGTTGAATGTTAATTTGATATATGAGGAATGCTATTTTGAAAATTAAGATATCAAAAATCAGGATAGTTATTTTGACTGGAAATTGGAGTGACTCACTACAAACTAAAATTAGAGCAAGGAGATAAATTTTTGATCATTGGTAAACTGTTTACCAAATATGGGGAAAAGATTTTAAGAAATGTGAATATCTGTAGCAAATTGGTAATATATGCTCCATTAAGAGGAATAAATGTTGCTCTTACTATAAGAATATGCTATTACTTATTTTTTATATGATCGTGAGAGTTGGGTATGACAGGACAAACATGAAAGTAAGTTTCTATGGAGAGTCATCCAGGTCATAGTTGTCTCAAAGGTGCTTTTTCAGAAGCCAACTGGACTGTTTTTTTCCTTGAGGAAGAAGAAGACATTTTGCTTCTCATCCAAGAAGCGTCATCGGTTCTGGCAGGATATGGGAGCAATGGAAGGATTGGTTCTGACAAGATGGGGCGGGAGGTTTTGAACAATCATATTTATCTGCAGTCATCTGGTTGTTAGCACTCTCCCTGATATCTCCTGACGCCATTTGGGGGTTTATCTGGGCCCTCAAGATCACCTATATCAGAGTGCAAATGGGGGTGGAATTTTCTTGGAACTGCTGAAAGGACTGCGTTGTGACAAGAGATAGGTGGTGTCTTATCCTCCCCCTCTGTTGAGAGAGGACTGCTCATTGTTAACACAAATGGCCTCTTTAACCCTTCTTTCAAACCAATGGTCCTCTCTACATTCTGTCCACATAGTGGATAGGGAGGACCATTGGTTTGAAAGAGGGATAAAAGAAGCCATTTATGTTAAAATAACAGTTGCTGGTATAGTATTTTTTTTTTCATGACCACTATAGTATGATGGCTCAAATATTTCTATAAATCAGGATAGAGAGAGCAAAATAGATATGTCACAACAAATCAGTGAGCCTTTAATTTACATATGACCACCAAGTCTTACAGAAGACTAAATAACCATAATAAAATTAATTAAATTGGTCATGGACTAAACAGAAACATTTATGATTATTTAAAGAAAGGATTGCAGAAAGTTCATAGTTTCTTCACTTGGAACATAATTTTGCATGTCATAATGCTGTAACATCCTTCCTTATATTGGAATATAAAAGAAAATTCCAAATAGGTAGAATGTACTTTTTTGGTTTGTTTGAATCAAAATTAAGTAATAGTTCAGATAGGGATAATCAGCTTCCAAATAATTGCTTAAGTCTTCAAAAATCTTTGAACAAGTCTAGGAATCTCCAGGATTTAGTGAAAAAGGGTTTTGAGCAATTCCAAGAATTTCACATTAAAAATTGCCTATGTATATCTATAAAACCTGAGCTTTCAGTTATGGGAAGTTTTCTGTCTATGACCACTAGTTCCTTCCTTTTTTTACTCTCTCTACCTTTGAAAATCTTGAGTTGCTGAAATGAGATAAAGAATGTTAGACTCTGAGTTGATTCAGAGCTGAAATGTAAACACTGTAAATCATATTTAGATTCAATTGAATTATGTGAAATGTATTTCTAAGTAGACCAGCTGAGAGCTGAGTTATATTTGTACTTGTTCACTGATTTAAGTTTTGTTTTGGCATTTAGAATATTCAAGTAAGGGTTAAACAGCTAGTGGGGGCAAGTATATACATAAGGTGACCAACTTTTTTACAACAAAAAGGAGGACACAAATAAATTTAAGAAAAAAATATCGTAAATAAAAGAAACATTGTATTTATTGCAACAATAATACAGAATACACTATAATATGATAAATGCATAATAAAAACATTTGTAACAATAACATTTTATATTGTAATTATGCTTACATGCCTATTAATTATTTAAATGAGTACTTTTCCATTGAATGAATATTTTTTGTCAATGTATCATCTTCTAACAATATATTGGAAATATCTGAACAAGAAATATCCTTCATATTGAATTTTACGGCAAGTGCTGCAGCTAGAGTATCAATATTCAATCTCGATTTCTCACTTGTCCAAAAATCTACACGGCTGGACTGCGCGGGGTGGGCGGCGGAGGCAGGTGTTGTGAGCCAGGCGCTCCAGGATGGCCATGTAGATGCGCAGGGTGAGATGGTGGCAGTGCAGGTCAGCACTGCGTAGACCACCAGCTGGCGCAGCCCATGGAAGGTCAACTGCCCGCCGCGCCCCCGCCCACAGCCGCCCCGCCAGCACTGCTGCCCTGCCATGGAGAGCCGGCCCTACAGCTCGCAAAGCACCAGCCGCGCCAGCTCCGGCCCTGCAGCCTCTCCCCAGCACCACCGCCCCCCCTGCCCATCCCCGTACAACCGGCCCCGCGGCTTGCAAAGCACCAGCCGCGCCGGCTCTGGCCCTGCAGCCGCCCCCCAGCTGCTGGGGCAGCACCACCATCCACCCTGCGCATCCCGGTAGAGCCGGCCCCACGGCTTGCAAAGCACCAGCCGCGCCGGCTCCGGCCCTGCAGCCGCCCCCCAGCACCACCACCCCCCAGCACCACCGCCCCCCCTGCCCATCCCCGTAGAGCCGGCCCCGTGGCTTGCAAAGCACCAGCTGCGCCAGCTCTGGTCCTGCAGCCACCCCCCCCCAGCCGCCCCCCAGCACCACCGCCTACCCTGTGTATCCCCGCGTAGAACTGAACAGGGAAGATCAAGTGAAACTTACCGCTCCAGTCTCCTCCAGCTATCTTTGGAACTAAGAAGTAGGAGATCGTGTAGTTGGGTAGCAGTGAGGGGTGCAAGTTCCTGCAACTTGCACGTGCAAAGTTTGCCGCCCGGGTGTTTTGGCGCGCTCAGAGCAATTCCTATTGGCTTTCGAAAGCCAATAGGGGGAGTAGATGCAAAAGTTGAAAAAAAAAATAAAAAAAAGGTCCCGGAACGCCTTCTGAGCATTCTATGAGGAAACAAAAGCCCTGCAGATTAGTCGTCAAAAAGAGGACATTTAGGAGGACATTTTCGAGAGAGGACAGAACTCACAAAAGGAGGATGTCCTCCCAAAAGGAGGACGGTATATGGAAAAGGAGGACATTTAGGAGGACACTTTTCAAGGGAGGACAGAACTCATAAAAGGAGGACTGTCCTTCCAAATGGAGGACGGTTGGTCACCTTAATATACAGGGAAACTAGATCTCCAGATCACTGGGCATGAAGAACTTGACCGTTAACACAGGAGGAGATACAAATACATGCACTCAATTGTGAAAACTTTTGTATGAGTTTTCATTTAAATGTACTTCTGAATTCTTGGTGGATGTTAACTTTTATTGCACAAATATTTGTAAAGGATGCAACAATTTGGCTGTTTGCAAAGTGCGGCTTATATATATGCATGCTTATATATTAGCCTGCTAAGGCTAATGATTCCCAAAAGGTTCAGCCCTTGTACGATCACAGCCCCCTTCAATTCATTTCAGTAAACCCTGTTGTCAAAGGTAAGTTTGAAAAAGAGGTATAATTGTTTTAAAGAGTTTATTCATTAAGTTAATAAAATTCTTAAAGCACCCACACTTATTTTCAGAATACTGTGGAAGTTTGAGAAAAGGAAGGTTGCTTTAATGAATAGTGGGGAGGTGCTGTGTTTTTTCTTATGTAAAATCCAAATACTTTTTCAAGCATGCAAAGGCCTACTTACTTTCTTCTCAGACTTTGCAGGTAATTTTGTTGCAGATGAATTCTTAATAAATTAATATGTAAAAACATGTTATTTTCTTCTATATTTGTTTTTACTTTACCCTAAGACAGATTTGTTCAAATCTAGAAAAATATTTAATTTAGATTTATATTCTACCATTTATCAGGACTTGTATCATAAAGTGGAATACTAGATGCTATCGGGTGTTATCCCTGTATTCCTAGGATTCAGACTAAAAAGGGAGGAAAATCA